ATATATATTATATATTTGAAGTATATAATGCTCTTGTTCTTGTCATTATAATATATATAAATAAAACAAATCATCACATCATTTGCATTTCTGGATTTTTTTTTTATTTCGCTTCTTTGATTGTTGAAAAAACTGTTTGTTGTTATATAGATGCTCATGACAGATGTCAAGTATGCACATGTCACACACACACACACATTCGAATCATTCACCATTTTTGACAGTTTTACTTGGAAAAGAAAGTTCCATTATAATTGGGCCATATACCATAATAATCTAGCCTATTGGAAAACAGCTCTCAATTTCAATCAAATTTGAATTTGCAAGACGTTTGATAACCATATGTTCGTTTCTTTCCTTATAATATCAAATGATTATCTGCAGACACTTACATACACACACACACACACACACAAATCAATCAATAATAATTGATCGAAATTATCATCAATCGATCGATAAGGTAGATAATAAAATGAATTCAATGATCAAACATATAATTATTACTTTTGTATTTCAATCATCACATCATACAAGAATAGGATCAATGATCCATTGCCAGCCAAATGAATAAAAGAACCATACATCTCTACGTTGAAAATGTTTGAATTCAATCGATTCATATATAAGTTAGGAGAGAGGAGTAGTTGCAGAAAAAAAACGTCAATCAATCAATCAAAATGTCATCAATGATGATGATGATGATGACGTGATCTACAATTCATCCGAAATGAATTAAACAAATTTATGGAAATGTCAATCGATCAATCTGGAATTGCTATGATAAAAAAAAAAAATTCACACAGCAATCATCATCATCAAGTGATAGTTGATGATGAACGACAACAATCTCAACTACGATGATAACGAACTATGGAATGAATAAGAATATAATTGGTACATTTTATCATCGACAATCACGTTTGGTAATAAAAATGACAGGCTACCACCACCACCACCACCGTCATCATCACCAACACCTAGATGATGATCATTACTTTTTGGTTTTTTTTCACCATTCTTAATAATGGTATACTATCAAAAATGAATGGATGAATGATTCTCATTATTGATGATGATAGTGATAGAAATGCCATTTCAGAATGAATGATACAAATCATATGGCAAAAATGAAGAGTGAATGAATGAACCTTATAATTATGAATTGTATATCTGGTTTGTTTGTGTGTATATATCTGCCATCAATTGTCGTCATTATTTGTATGAAATTTATTCTTCAAATTTTTTTTTTCTTTCAAAAATAAGACAACTTTTTGACAAGACAAAAAATGATGATTGAATGAATTATTATCATGTTTGCTATTAAACATGTCAATTAATTTTTTTTTTTCTCTTCTTGAATCACAACAATGACTATTATCAATTTGCAATCGAAAATGACAAACAATCTTTCAACAACAATGATAATAATAACAATATATATATAAATAAGCAAATAACAATTGAAATCTGCTACCTGTGTTTTTCTTTTTGATTTCTAAAAAAAAAAATAACAAGTGGAATTCAAGTGATCAAAACAAAACAAAACAAAAACAACATAAACATAAACACCACTCGACCATCAATGATTTTTATAGTTGTCATTTTTTTTGGGTAAAATATTTGATGGCTCTTTTAATAGCATCCGTAAAAAAAAACAACACTTTTTTTGTATTTAAGAATTAAATACACAAAAAAATGTATTTATGTGTCCTTGAAGAAATTGGAATTTTTTTTTCGCTTACAAAGATTTATCTCTTTCTTGTCAAGAAACTGTGAATGTGACTTGTGTTTCTCTTTCATTTTTTGCATTTGTGTGTATCTAAAGTGGTAGTTAGTTATAAATTTTAAATATACGAATATAGTCATCTTCCTGCGTGTGTATGTTTGTGTGTGTGTGTGTAAAGCATGTCATTTGACAGTGACAAAATTTATTACCATCATCATTATTATTATTATTACCATTTCCATCACCAACACACCACAAACGCCCCCTTCAACGAAAAAATGAATTAATATTGAAACCAAAGAAATAAAAAACAAACAAAAAAAGTTTTAACTGTTGAATTTATGAATGTAGAAAGAATTTGTATTTTCTGAATATAAATAAATGACTTTTATTTTTCAGTGGAAAAAATAAGTGTGTTTTACCATTTCCGGTGAAGAGAGAAACAGAGTGTGGTGGAAACTAGTATTTGTATTCTATTCATTTATTTATTTTTTTTTTTGTAAATAAATAATGATGTCTTAATGACCTTTATATATTTTTTTTTTGCAATTTTTTTTCTGATGATTACGTGATGAATGATTGAAATATATTTTTATTGTTGTTTTCTTCATGGTGCATTCTCGTTCAATTTATTCAAATTCAAATTAATGATGATGATGATGATGATGATTATAATTTATGTTTCTGTTAATAAGTGTATCCCCATCATCATTATAAAAACTTTTTAAATTTAAACTATTGATTATTCTGTCTGTAAATTGTTGTGCATGATGATTTTTCATAATTATTGATTTTTTTTTATATTATCATTAATCATGAACTGAGATGAAATGAATAAGAAAAAAAAATATTTCACCACAATGATGGTAATCATCATCAATGAAATATCAAGGTCGAGACAAAATAATTCATAAATGGTTTCATGCTCAATAACAAACACATACACTTTTTTATTTTTCACATTTAAAACCTTGTCAATTTTCGGTCAATATTTTTTTTTTTTTGGTCTTTTTTTTATTTTCATAAAAAAATGTTGAAGATTTTAACCACTATTACCACCACCACCACCACCACCATTACCACATCCGCTTTCTTCTTGTCATAATCATAATTATCATTATTATCTTATCAACAACAGAAATGTGCAATTTAATCTATAGTTTTTTCTTTTTCATTTTTTAAACTTGCCCTAATTTTTCTGCCTTCTTGTGATAATATTCCCCATTTTTTTTTTTTTTTTTTTTTTTTTGATAATCAAATCTGAAGCATATGAACATTATATGACAAAAAAAAAAGATTTGTGAAGAAAAAAAAATCAAACGCCCAATTCATTCTGGCCAGTCTTGCTTTTATCATTATTATCATTGTAATTGTGTGTGATCAATTGATTGATTGATTGTTGATGGATAAAACGACTTATTTTACTGATTGACGATCTAATCGCTACAAATTACTAACATTTTGGCATTTTTTTCCTTTTGCTGACAATCTGATTGTTTGTTCATAATAATAATAATAATACCATGATCCTGAGACAGAACTTTTTTTTCTTTTGATTTATCAACATTTGGCTATCCTTGTCATTATTTTGTTTATACCCAGATCTGTTGTGTTGGTTTTCGCTTTCCATTTCATTTCATTTCATTTCATTTGATTTCAATTTTTTTTCTTTTGTTTGTTAAGAGTGAATTTCCCGCTTTATTTGATGATGATGATGACTGACTGACATTCATCATCATTATCAAGAATCTGAACCAATAAGTGATTTTTTTTTTTTTGGTTGAAAGCAGCACTTTTTCAAAAAATGATTTCAAATATATCCATAATATGATGTTGAATATTTGGGAAAAGAGAAAAAAACTTTGATTCGATTTTGATTGACACTTGACAATGACAAGCAAACACACACACACACACAGCACATCATCATCATCATCAGATTTTCGCTGTCATAGGCGATCAGGTCAAAGGTCTTGTGTGTGGCTCAATATGAATAAAATACACCTTCATTTATTATACCTGTCTATATCATTCTCTCAATATATGTGATATGATTATACCTTATTTGTTGAAAAAAAACATGATTTTGATTGACTGTCAGTTTGACATCAACAACAACAAAACAACAACAACAACAACAAACAGCAGCGGCGACGGCAGTGATGATGACCACCACCATCAAAATCAAAATCAAAATCATCATAGGTGTCAAGATTTTTTTTTTTTTTTTTTGATGGCCCCTCTCAATTTTCAATAGGCGAAAAATGCCCACACTTACGCATTAACATATTGTATTATACAGTAACAAAATTCATTCATTTGGATTGTTGGTAATTAATGTCAATCAAAAAAAAAAATTTTATTTTTCGATTTTTGATTTGATTTACTTTTTTTTTATTACACATGTTGTCATCTCCATTTATAATACACTACTGTCATTTCGTGGATTATTTTTCTGTATATCCTGCGGCGATAACCACATGATTCACTATGTTCTGAATGTATGTTTCATATTTTTTTCCTATTTTAATTTTGATTTTGTTATTGTTGACGTGTTTCGGCCAACCAAATGATTGTACCGAATATATATTTACAGTTGATAGAGAAAATAGAATCCGCGAGAACATGACACAAACACATATATACGTTTTTACATGTTTTTTTTTCATTGTTGAAAAGTACATTAAATAAGATTTGATTGGCAAAAAAAAAATGACACGACATACATAGATAGAGTGAAAATCAAGTGTCAGATCCATGTGTGTGTGTGTGTGTTTGTATGTGTAGGGTGCGGCATAACGACAGCGTCGGCGGTGGCAAATATGATGATGATGATGATCGTTGGATGGTTGGTGTTTGACATTCGACACATTTGATTGACATTTGGACACAAAGCATTCACTTTTTTTGTTCAATATGGCCCCCTACAATCACTGCCAAACTACTCAACAACCAATCGAATATATTTTCAAATTCTGTATATGTTGATGATGAATAAAAGAATCATCCAATGATGATGATTCCAAGTGGCAATAAGAATGGTTTTCGAGTGGGGAAAAAATGAAATTTTTTTCAAAAATAAAATTAGTTTTAAAAAACCGTTCAAAGATGGCGTAGTTTTTCAAAAAAATTCTCAAAGTAGTGGTCTTGTTACATAGTAAGATCGATGTGAATTCAATTTATACATACACAGTCACTCACAAACACATACGGCTAGCATAAAAACAGAAAATACAGACGACCGACGTTGAATATGAATTGGAACAAGCTTTTTCTTTCCAAAATATATCATGACCATTGATCATTGATTCGTCGTTCTCTTCACGTCATACACACCGTTATTATTTGGATTTTAGTCATCGTGCTGCATTGATCGTTTTTTGTTTGATTTTTGTTCTGGTTTGAATTTCTTTAAAATTATTGAATGGCATAATATTCTGGATTCGTTTCTGTTTCACGAAAAAAAAATTCTTCCATTGTGCTTTTGCACTGTGTGTGTGTGTGTGTGCCTATGTTTGTCATGCTAATGTTACAATAACAACATATTTTGTTTTTTCTCATTGAATTTTCGTCAAAAAATATTCTCATTCTTGTTATTCATTTTGATGAAAAATTTCTAATCTTATTTCTCTGTATGCCAATGTGTACGAGCAGCCAAAATAGTGATACTGAAATAACGTCAACAACAACAAAAACATCATTCAAATCGACGAAAAACAACTATTCGGTAAAATCGATAAATTCAAATTCTCATTCAACATCGACAATAATAATAAATAAATTTAATATGCTCACCTCAACAACAACGGCATCCGCCAATCAATACCTCAGACCGGAATATCTTCCACCGGTTTCAAGTCCGGTAAGTTTTTTTCTTTTACTTTTGCTGGCAATATTTTTCAACAACACAAAAAAAAAATCTAAATCGATTTGGTCATTCTGTTTATCCTGTTCGAATTTGACAGTTTCATTTTGTTTTTTATGTTTTCCAAAAAAAAAATAATTTATTGCTTTTTTCCAAAAGATTTATAATGTTCGACAGCAGCAGCAGGTTTATTCAACGATTAAGCCATTTTGTTGAGTTTGTTGTTTTTTGATTCTTGAATTCCGTTCATCTGAATTGATTTCTAATGAAAGAACGAAAAAGGGAAAATCACGAAAAAGTCATAGATCAATGTGAAAAACCTGTTTTTCATCCATGATAAATGTTTTTCCAAGATGGGAGACGCGAGAAAAAAAAATCGGATATTCATCATGTAATCGGTTTTCGTCATCAAATAATCTACAAAAAAAAAAATTGTCGGCGACGACGTCGATTTTTTTTTCTTTCAATGATAATTTAGTTCTGTCTCTTCATCTTCTTGATGATTATTTAATTTGATTTATATTTTTTCGATTCTATATATATATGCGCGACAAAGACACGCCGACAATTTCGTGACGAATTTATATGGTCATTGAATTGATTTAGTATTATTTCGGCTTTTTAATTCGATTGTCGTTTTTGATCATATTATCGCCTTTCAAAATCGATAAATATTTATCATCACCATCATCACTATGCATGCAACAGGAATATTGTTGTTGTTGTTGTTGTTGTTGTTGTTATATTTATCCGGATTTTCTTGTTTTTTATACCAATATAAATAATTCATTCAAAAATGATCAATGTCCACTAATAAATTTAATGATCAATGACATATTCTATCAAAAAAAAAACAAAAACAAATTCATTTATCTATTGTTTGATAAATGAATTTTTTTTTTTTTTTTTTGACAAAAAGAAAAATATTAACGACTGTCAATAAACGATTCGATTCTTTTTTTTCTCCCTCTATCTGTTTTGATGACTGACTAACTGACATTTTGATAGTTTGGTATTTTTTTCAATTTGATTTGATTTTGATTGATTGATTGATCGATTGATCAATATATCATATGTTTCCAAGTGTCAAAATTGTTGTGAATTTTTCTCTTTCACATTTATTTATCCTTTCATAGAGAGTTCGAGTTGATTGACGTTTGATATGGTGTCAATCAATTTTTTTCTGAGTGACAAGAAAAAAAATCATCATCATCACCATAGTGCGGTATTTCTTCGAATGAATTGAATTTGAATGGTAATGTTGTTGCGAATATTTAACATGAACACACAGATGCAAACATACAAACGATACCATTTACAGGCAACAAAATGACGTCGTGAATACTTTATACGAAAAAAAAGAGGGGAATCATCATCATCATTATCATCATTGTTGTTGATGATGATGACAGCCTCGTCAATTATCATTTACATCAAATCATTCACACACACGAACGGGATTTATATTTATATTTATATTTTTTTTTTGGACTGATGGTGATGATAGCAAATAATGATTTCGATGGTGGTGAAGATCCTCTTTTTCTTTCTTTCTTTTTTTCTTTCTCCCTTCGACCTGCAATCTTTTCATTTTTATTATTCTTGTTTGTTTTTTTGTATGCAATCATTTTCTATTTGTTTGTTTCATTTGTACATTGGATATGATCGATGATTGTCGTTTGATGGATTGATGGATATGGATGAAATGAATGTGAAACAAAATGAATTGATGGCAATGGTTTATGCCGCTTTTTATTGGATTCAATCATCATCATTTTAGATTACATACTTATGATGCGTGGGTGAAAGGAATGATGATGGAGATGTCGATCATTCATTTCAAATAATACACATCGTCAATCAATATTTTGTTTTCATACAATAATAATAATAATAATCATTTGACTCTTTGACGGTCAAAACATCTATCAAATAACAAGAGAAGCCATCACCACCGTCACAACTGACCGTCAACAGTTTTGATTCGTTTTTGTTTTCCTGATTTGATCGAATCCGATTGATTCGCCATTGAATCGAAAAAAATGAATGATTTTCGCCTTTTGTTCATAATTTATTTTTTTTCTGATTCATTTATTCATCTGATGATGATGATCGATCGATCGATCGATGAAGAATTATAAAGCTTTAAAACATTGAACGATGAATGAAATTCGAATCGAATGAGTCTTTTAAATTGAACAACAACATGAATTATCATTGATTGATCGATCGATCCATTTGGTCATCGATCATTTGACACCATGAATTTTTTCCCTATTATCATTTTTCCTCACTAGCTATATGCCCTCCCGTTGCCTGGTTCATAATGCCACCCATCCATACATTTATTCATTCATTCAATCAATCAATCCATCCATCCAATCGCTCTTTACTAACAGTGCAATTCAGATGTTATTTTGTTTGTCACAATTTATATTGTCGTTGTTTTTATTTGATTTTTTCACCCCACCCCCACTCTCTTTGCCAAATGCCATCGCGCCCAAAATGCCACCGCTTCAAGATGAGCTTCTTTCATCATTACAATACGATTGTTTATTTCAATGAATAAAATTCCAGTGGTATGGTGTGGGCTTGTTTTTTTTTTTTTTGAATATTGTAAAAACAAACCGAAAATGGATGAATGAATTTTTTTTCGGTTCCAAAGATAACAACAATTTGATTGAACATGCTGGCAAATTCGTTTTTATTTTTCTTATTCATTCGTTGGTGGCGATGGTGGGTTGTTGATTATGATGGATTAGTTTTTTGTTGATGTTATTGTTTGAACGCAAGCTTAATTTTATAAAGGGGCAAATAATGATGATGGCAATAACAAACAACAGCAAAAGAATGTCTATAATCTCCTCCCCCTCATTCATTTTATTCAAAGTCAAATTATTTTTATCCATCGAATTTTTTTCTACGAAAAAAAAGTCATCAATCAAATTAGAAAAGATTTTCATTCATTCACTTATGCATTTGAAATTAGATTTTTTTTCATCATTCTTTTCCCATTTCGAATCGAATGAATGATGAATGTTATGCTTATAGCAGCAATCTTTATATCACATACATAATATAGTTTAACATAAGCAACAAGCTAATGATGTTGATGTGTGATTCTATGTGACATTAGCATTTATTTTTACCTTTTGATAATCATCATCATCATCATCAACAACATTTGTCTTTTTTTTCGTTTGTTCCTCCTACGCATTGTTTCTGGGACGTTCAGCTGAAAGTTTTTTTTGCAGTTAAAAAGTCGAAAAAAAACAATCTTGTTTATCGATACTACGGTTATTTTCATTATTATTGAAAAGTTATATGATGATAATATCCGGGAATTTTTTCTTTCTTTGTGTTTTTATGATAACATAATCGATTATCGCGATTTGCTTGTTTGTTTTGTTTAGTTCCTATTGAGACAATAGTATATATATTACATATTACTTTACGTGTGTGGTATATATTGCCTATTTACGCAAATTGTTTCTGAACGATCAGAACAGAAAAAACATTGAAACAAATCATTAATTTAAAGTTTTGTTATGTATAAATGTCCATATTTGACAGACCGACCTGTCATCATTAATCGTATTCATTCATTCATATTGATCACCATCATTCGATTCTATCATTTGATCTTTCTCTGCATGTGTTTTGTCGCCGCTGTTTTCATTTTTTTGTTTTGTTTTGCTTTGCTTGGAATTACATCACATTCAATTTGATTTGTCTGTCTACATATACATTTTCGGACATGAAAATAAAATTAATGAATGAATAAACTTGCCTGTCGAGTCTCGATAATGATGATGATGAAGTATGATAATGATGAATTAATAATGATTAGATTGCAATGTCGCGTTCGGCTACCGCCAGAGTTTTGTTGACTGTTTCGTTAATCATTATTCAGATTTGTTTTGTATACACATGGATAAATGTGGAAAAAATTATTTGAACAAATGAAAAATCGATTTTTTTTCCAATGTTTTTTTTTACTATCATTTAATTTCACGTCATAGTGATGATTGCTTGAGATGTAAATTTCTCATCATCATCAACAGCATCATCTTATGTCTAATCATGTGTATATCATATCTCCATGTCATGTATTCTATTGCCCTTTGTTTGTCTATCACACACAAACGATAAGGATTAATCTTTTTGAAATAAAAATTTTCCAAAAACAAATGTCGATATCGTGCTGACCTTTTTTTTTTTTTTTAAATCTAAACTTGATAACAGTAACAACAACTTTAGCTTAGTATAGGTGTATGATGTTCAGGATCGATCCAGAACAACAACGAAAAAAAAAATTTACCACACTGACATATTAGATTTCCAACAATGAATATATATGAATGATTGGGATCTCAAATCTTTATTTATATGTGTATAAGTGTGTCTGCATACAAGATGGATTACATTTTGTATTTTGTGTAGAAAAAAAGGCAAAATTTGTAATTCATTTTTTTTATAATAACGATCAAACTGAAAATATCCATAACATACATATCTGTGATCATGCTTTATGTTAATGAAGTATTATTTTTTTTATTTGAAAAATGAAATAAATCAAAATTGACTGGGATTTTTTTTTCTGTTGATAAATGATCGATGATTGGTGGTCCATCCATTTGGTCATTTTATTGTGTTTTCTGAAGGAAAAAAGTTTTTTTCTTTTTGCCAACTATGTTTTTTTTCCGATTATCGTTTTGTCTGTATAAATATATACATCCTCTATGTATTATATCTGGTGTGTGTGTGTGTATGCATGTCGTTTGTCATTTCCATAAGTAATTCATCAAAAAAAAATCCATCCATTTAAATAATGATAATAAATATTGTTGTTGTTCCTGAAACAAAACATGTTTTTTCATAGATGTTTTTTTAATGTATGATGGATGATTGTTTATATTATGATTATCACATCACATCGACATTATTATTAATTGTATACATATATGATGTTAGTCTAGTTATAAATGAATGGGGGT